TGAATATGGATATTTTTACCACACAAGCAGAGGAAAAAATTGAAGACCTTTATAAATGAGGTTTCTAAATTGATTCTAAAAGGAAAATTAAGACTTCATCAATTAACAGGAATAGACCCAGTAGAAATTATAATACATTTTACTAATGGTGAATTTCCTCATTATAAACAGAAAAATGAACATTGCCAACAGCTTACAGTATTGGGGAGGGTAGCAACAAATATCCCAAAAGGAAGACTTCAATTTATACAGAGAACTAATTGGGTCTTTCCTCACATTGTATGGGCAACATCAATTTCTGGAGTCCCCACATTCTATACTGATATTAACAAATCAAAAAAGGAAGATTATAAATCAGAAAATTTAAATTAAATGGCTCAAAGCCCCTATGAGTCTGTTCAAAAGTCAGAATTATATGCTATTCTCATAACATTATTGGATTTTCAAGAACCGCAATATACTTGCTGACTCTCAATATGCAAAAAGTTTTTTTTACATATTGAAACTGCTGAATTTATTCTAGATGATTCAGAACTGTTGCTTATTCAATTACAAAAATAATCTGAAATAGAAATCATCCCTTGTATATACCACATATTAGATTCCATGTGGGTCTACCTGGCTGTATAACACAACATAATGATATAATTGATCAGCTATATGGTAGGAAATGTGCTAAAACCCTCAAAATTTCATAAGAAATACCATGTTAATAGCAAGGGTTTGAAAAAAGATTTTTCTATCACTTAGCAACAAGCCAACAAAATTATAAGGAAATGTCTTATTTGTTCTTTGTGTAATCAAACTCCACTACCTACAGGAAGTAATCCAAAGGGTACTCAAAGAACTAAAATTTGACAAATAGATGTGTTTCAATTTTCAGCATTTGTAAAGTTAAAATATGTACACCATGCCTTAGAAACATATTCAGGTTTTCAATGGGTAGCTGTTTTTATAATTACACATTATAAAGGCTGATTTTATAATTACACATTTAAAGGCAGACCTATCCAAATTATACCTGACTTCTCAGTGGAAACTTTGAAAGCCAGAAGGTCCTGGATAGGTGTTCTAAAAACGCTAAGGGAACATGGATGCCAGCCCAGACTACTGTATCCAGCAAAGCTTTCAATCACTATAGATGGAGAAAACAAGACATTCCATGACAAAACCAGATTTAAATAATACATATCCACAAATCCAGTCCTACAGAAAGTACTAGAAGGAAAACACCAATCCAACGAAGATAACTACACTCAGAAAAACATAGGCAATAGATAATCCCACCTTACCAAACACCAAAAGAAAAAAGGGGGAAAACCACACATAATACTACCACCAACAAATCCAAAACAAACAAGAATCAACAATCAATGGTCATTAATATCCCTCAATGTCAATGGTCTTAACTTGCCTATAAAAAGACACAGACTAACAGAATGAATACGAAGACAGAATCCATCCTTCTGCTGGATACAAGAAACACATCTCAATGTCAAAGACAGATGTTACCTCATAGTAAAGGGCTGGGAAAAAATTGTCCAATCAAATGGACCCAAGAAACAAGCTATGTAGCATCCTAATATCTAACAAATTAGACTACAAACTAAAACCAATCAAAACAGATGAAGGACATTTCATACTCATCACAGGAGAAGTCCATCAAGATGAAGTCTCTATTCTGAACATCTATGTCCCAAATACTAAGGCACCCACATTCATAAAAGAAACATTACCAAAACTCAAATCACATATAAAACCTCACACACTTATAGTGGGAGACTTCAACACCCCACTCTCACCACTAGACAGGAACACCAGACTTAAACTTAACAAAGAAACAAAGGAACTAATAGAAGTTATGACCCAATTGGGTTTAACAGACACCTATAGAACATTCCATCCAAACACAAATAATATACATTCTTCTCAGCGCCATATGGGACCTTCTCTAAAATCCACCACATACTTGGCAACATAGAAAACCTATACAGATACAAAAACAATTGGAATAACCCCCTGTATCTTATCAGACCACCATGCTTTAAAGTTAGAATTCAACAACAACACAAATTGCAGAAACCTTACAAACTCATGGAAATTGAATAATGCGAAATTGCACCATTCCTGGGTCAAGGAAGAAATAAAAAGAAAAATAAAGACTTCCTAGAATTTAATGAGAATGAAGACACAACATACCCAAACTACGGTACACCTTAAAAGCATAGCACTAAGTGCCCACATGAAGAAACTGGAGAATAGCTACACTAGAGAATTAACTGCACAACTGAAAGCTCTAGAACAAAAAGAAGCAAACTCACCCAGGAGGATTAGATGCGAGGAAATAATCAAACTGAGGGCTGAAATTAATAAAGTAGAAACTAGGAAAACAATGAAACAAGGAGTTGGCTTTTCAAGAAAATTAACAAGATAGACAAACCTCTATCCAAACTAACCAAAAGACAGAGAGCATGATAATTAACAAAATCAGAAATGAAAAGTGGGACATAACACCAGACACTGAGGAAATCCAGAGAATCTTCTGGTTATACGTTAAAAACCTGTACTCCACAAAACTCAAAAATTTAAAGGATTACCAGCCTACAGTCCACACTGCCAGAGAAGCTAGGAAACAAGGAGGGTCCTAAGAGAGACATACATGGTCCTCCAGAGAAGGGGAAAGAGAAAAGATCTCCTGAGCAAATTGGGAGCATGGGGGAGGGGAGAGGGAACTAGGAGATAAGGAGGGGAGAGGAGGGGAGGACAGGACATGAGGGAGCAGGAAGGCTGAAGCAGTGGGAGAATAGAGGAGAGCAAGATAAAAGACAGAGGGAGCCATTGTAGGTTTGAGGAGAAATCAGGCACTAGGGAAATGTGCAGAGATCTACAAGGTTGACCCCAACTAACAATCTAAGCAATAGTGGAGAGGGTGCCTTAAATGCTCTTCTCCAATAATGAGATTGATGACTGCCTTATATGCCACCCTAGAGCCTTCCTCCAGAAGCTGATGGAAGCAGCAGCAGACACCCACAGCTAGCCTGGAATCCAGTTGCAGAGAGGGAGGAGTGATGAGCAAAGGGGTCAAGACCAGACTGGAGAACCCCACAGAAACAGCTGACCTGAACAAGGGGGAGCTCATGGACTCCTGACTGATAGCTGGGAAACCAGCATAGGACTGTTCCAGATGGCCTGAATATGGGTGTCAGTGAGGAGGCCTCAGAAATCTATGGGGCCTCTGGTAGTAAATCAGTACTTATCCCTAGCATAGGAATGGAATCCCATTCCACATAAAGGGATACTCCCTGAGCCAAGACACACAGGGGAGGGCCTAGGCCCGGCTCCAAAGGCTATGACAGACTCTGAAGATCCCCCATGGAAGACCTCACCGTCCCTGGGGAACAGAAAGGGGATGGGATAGGGGGTTAGTGGGGAGGCAGGGGATGAGGGGAGGGAGAGAGAACTGAAATTTACATGTAAAACAATCTTGTTTCTAACTTTAATAAAAACTGGAGAAAAATAAAAAATAAAGGGATTTCCATAAAAAATAAGATATTTTAATAACATAAGGTTTTCGTTTTTGGGTTTTTTTGTTTTTTTGTTTTTTTGTTTTTTTTTTTTTAATGACAATGAGACACGTATGTTCCAGGCAGCACCAATTTACTTCAGTGAAGATGATGAGCATTAAAGAATCTCCACATGGAGTCTGCTTTCTTTGTAGCAAAATTTAGCCACTTGGAAAGAAACTGTCCTTACCTCAACTACTGACAGCATGCTGTCCACACTGGACAAGCAGGACACAAAAGAGAGTGCCAAACATTGCCAGGACAGAGTAGAACAGTCCTTCAAAATTCCTTCTCCACAGAATGGTCTGTCAGATGCTCTAGGCCTGTAGACTGAAGATGGATGGGTGACTATCTATGCGGCCAGCTGTCTCTCTCGTTTCTGTTTTGGAAGTTGTTTGCTCAGTACTTCCTGTTTACTCAGTTTATAAAATATCTTTCTCTGGTCTTTGATGAAGGTGAAGACCAGAGAGCTATAGTTCTAGTTTTCCTTGTTTCCAAATTTGGAGAAAATCCTCACAAAAGAGGTGTGAAGTGTGTAAGGTTGAGAGACACAGAAGGAAAGCTTTGGGTTGGTGATACAAGTTAGGATAGAAAGTGAATTAGGTATAACACTCTGGACTCACCAAAATAGGGAACATAATGGAGTATTTTCTCTGAATTTGCCAAATAAAAATGGACTGGACATTGTTAATGTAATTACACACACACACACACACACACACACACACACACACACACTTATTGTATATAGTTTTGCTATGTTAGAGTTAAAACCTTCCTTTTATTTAGATAAAATTGGTGAAATGGGTGATATTTTGATTATATTCTGTCAATAAAGTTTATTTTGAGTCAGAGGGTAGAGCTGGCCAGCAGCTGATCAAAGTTAACCATCAAGGTCCTGGAGGATTGATGAAATAGTACAGTGGGGCTTAGAGAGGCTCTTAGCCCTTTTTGGAGGAAGGAACAGAAGAGGTAGGAGGTCACTGGTGGTAGCTTCTCAGATCACTCAGGTTCTTACCCCAATATCTGACTCCCGATTTCTTACTGATAAAGAATAATTAGTTAAATGCAGACAGAGGGAGAGGGAGAGGGAGGAGGGAAGGAGGGAGAGAGAGAGAGAGAGTGCCCAGGCTGACCCCAAATCTATATGCAGTTGAGGGTGACCTCTAACCTTTCACCCTACACCTCATTAAGACTGAATAGGACTCCATTGTGGGTCAATGATGTGTTGCCCTTATCCATTCCTCTGGTGATGGCATTCTCTACCTGTTGTCTTGGCTATTGTGAGCAAGTGTGTTAGATGAGCAAGTTATCTCTGAGGGAAAAATACAACCTAGCAGTAAATGCTTGGTAGTTGCTGAACAATTGAGTGAACCACTTTTGTTAAAACTTTAGGTGACAGTGCTTGAGGTGGGATAAAGAGGAGTAGGAACTGACCTTCCAGGCAAGATAAAAGTTGGTAGGTAAAAAACTCATTCAGAGGCATCTGGGGAAACTTTGGGATTTCCCTTGAAAGGCCCCCTTTCCAAGTGTAGCTGGCTTTGAGCTCTTGATTCCTCATGGAAGCTCTTGTCACCTTTCAGTCAGGTCCACATGGAGCAGGTGAAACCTATATGAATGAAATCTGTTGTTGGATCAAGCCAGCAAGACAATCCACACAAGGCTTTTCATTGTGCAGAAGCTCACAGTGTGCCTGCCACCGGAACTCACCACTTCTTGTCCAGCACACATTATTCCTTGCCAAGGGAGCAGAGCCCTGGAGGACAAGACTGACCAGCATCTGCTATACCTTGGTTCTGTGCTGCTCCCAAAGATGCTCTGTCAGAGATGTCTGCTGCTCTCACGGAATCTAGCCTCTTGTTTTACCATGAATTACTTTAGTCCTATTAAAATCAGCTCCATCTGATTTTAATATAGAAATGATGGACGGGAGGGAGAAGGAACTGGGATGGGTATGTAAAATAAGATTGCTATTAATTTAAATAAAAATTTATTTACAAAAATGAAAAAAGAAATGTTATATCAGTGTTTTGTTTTATTTTGTTTTTTAAATTGTTTTCAAGACAGAGTTTCTCTATGTAAAAGCCTAGCAGTCCTGGAATTCACTCTGTAGACCAGGCTGACCTCGAACTTACAGAGATCCACCTGCCTCTGCCATCTGAGTGCTGGGATTAAAGGCGAGCACCACCACTGCCCAGCTTAGATCTCAGCGTTTTGTTAACAGCACACAAAATAAGTAGTTTTCTAGGGTAGGGGATTGGGTGGGAGTGGTTCTCGTAAGCCACAGGCACGTGGAAAGGGAAGCATTTTCTTCAGTAAGAGACTACAGTTGTGTAGACAGATGAGTGCTCATAGCATCGGTTATGCAGTCACCTGAGGGCAGTGAATAGCAGCAGATCCATGTGCTGAATACCAACCACTATGGGCTGTAATCTGTCAGACATTGTAACAGTCATCTGATTCTAATACAAAAAAGAAACTCAACAGGTACACACAAAGTTGGGAAAATACATTTGCAATAAGTGATAAGTGAAGGGCAACATTAATATTGAGAATGTAAAATATTAATAAAAAGGAGATAATACAAAGTGGTCAGGGGATATTAATAATTAAGAGGAAAGACATAGGAGCTAATATTCATATGAAAAGATGCTGAAATTCATTTATAATTTAAAAATGCAAGTAAGATCAACTATAATTTTTCCAAAAAATTGGCAAAAGTTGAAGTGAAAGCACTGTGCCAAAAAAGTGCATGCCCTATCTACCAACATTTAAAATTTATAGTCTATACCCTAGCAGGTACTGCTAGGCACCAGCATGGTGTTTGAATGTTTGCTCTTAAGAATGTAAAAGCACTTGTAGCTTTAAATAACTCTTGAGATGGCCACCTTGTAAAACCAGTGGCACCTGGTGTAACAGGAATATCTGGTATCATGTCTGTGGCATATTCTGAGAAAACAACTTAGAAACTGCGTTGGCATTGTACATAGCTGTGGCATCTTAAAGCCTGGTGTGTGTAGCTTGTGTGTGTGAATGTGTGTTGTGTACATGCATAGGTGGTAGTATATTTTGCTAGTTTGCTGTTAATATTTTGACAGATTGTCAGAGTTGATGACTTGAAGGAGGATAGATAGACATACTACAGTTCTAGAAGTCAGAAGAAATGAAGCCAGGTCCAGTGTCTTGCACCTGTAATCCTAGCACTCATGAAGCATCTGTGCAGACCTGAGCTATATAAGAGATTCCATCTTTAAAAGCAGAAGAAATGGATCCCAAGCTGGACATGTTGGAAAATGTCTTTAATTTCAGCACTCAGGAGGAAAGTGGATCACAGTGAGTTCAAGGCCACCCAGCGCTATGTAGTGAAAAACCACCATCTCAAAAAAGAAATGTATCTGCTGGGTAGTGGTGGCACACACCTTTAATCTCAGCACTCAGGAGACAGAAGCAGGTGGATCTCTGTGAGTTCAAGACCAGCCTGGTCTACAAGAGCTAGTTCCTGGACAGACTCCAAAGCCACAGAGAAAGCCTGTCTCGAAAGCCCCCCCCCCCCCAAAAAATGTATCTTGCATGGATCATATTTAGTGTGGCAAGTCTGCATTCTTTCTGGATGAGAGTCCATTTCCTTACCTTTGTGGTCTGTAGATGTGGTCTTTGCATTTCCTAATCCGGGACTCTGTTTCTCCATCCTCAGAGCAGGCAGCATTAGGCAGAACCTCATTTCACTCAATTTCACAAGTTTATCTTTGAAGAAAAAAAATTAACAAAGAGTTGTTTGCTGAAACAGATACAGAGGATAACTCTGAAACACACAGCACAATGTGGATGGAAGATAACAGCTCCAGACTGGTCAACTGAGACATCCTTTTCCTGAGGAACAGATACTAATCATAACCAATAGGAGCATTCCTCAGGAAGACCAGATCTCCACAGCAAAAGGAGAAAGATCCCTAGCTCTCATCAGATACAAAAATGGGCTCAAAATGTATTAAAAAATATCTAGCTGTGAGACCTGAAACCGTTAAACTACTAGAAAAAGCACAGCAGAAAGACATTATTGTAAAAGATACGTCTTTCAATATCCCCAAATCACAGATGATGGGATTATTACAATAAAGAGTGAACAACTAGAATAATGGAAGAAAACATTTGCAAACTATTCATCCCACTAGGCATTCACATCTAGGCTATATAAGCATCTGTCTTTAGTCAATAGCAAAACAGTACTAGCAATCCATCTGAAACCAGGCTAACAATCTAGACATGCATTTGTCAGAAGATACACAGTGATCAGCTAGAGTAGCAGTCACCTGAGAAAGGAAGAGCCATCTTACCCAGTCAGAACGGTTATAGAAAAAAGGCAGAAACTTCCAGGTTTCTGGGGTGCAGGTGAGTCTTCAGGGAAAGGGAAACTCATAAACCAAGAAAGAAATTCACATATCACTTCATAGCACAATACAGAGGCACCTCAAATGCTAAGACTAGAATTGCCACAAACGTCAGCAAATCTACCAAACAGGTGGATATCCACAGGAAATGAAATAAGGGCAACAAAGAGACGCCTGTACTCTTGGTTAGCTGAAACACTGTTTGCAGTGGCAGTGTGGATGGAAACGGAGGCTATTAAAACAAGTGAAATCAGCCACTCTCGGAAGTGTAAATCCTACACGTTCTTGCTTGTACCGAGAAACTAGAAAAGTTGTTTTCAAAGAGGAGTATAACTGCTCATCAGAAGTTAGGAAGCACAGCAGCCAGAGAGATGTCTCCACAGTTCAGGGTCTCGTGTTCTCCCAGATCATCCCACTGTAGTCCATGTTATTGTAATTTAACGATAATAACACATACTTCTTAGAATTAGCTGGACATTGGCATTGTTCAGGGCACTTAATGTGATTTGGCTTTATTTTTGGTCTGCTATTTAAAACTGAACATTTGGGACTACAGAATGCTACAAAACCAGAGACTGCCTTGGGAGCAGAGAACACCTGAGGCTACAGAGACCCACCCCTCCATTCCCTCTGCTACATGCTACCACATGGAGCCCATTAGAGCTAGCGGTACCTGGAGTTTCACCTTTCAGCTCAGCACAGCTTTCCAGGTACTCCTTCTGCACCTACCCTCTTTACTAGTTTTTTCTATCGCTTGCCTTCTACTCATATGTCTCATAATGGTTTTGTTTCCCTCTGTGTGTTGTTCACTTAGGCTTAAAACCGTTGAAGACCGTTGAAATCCACCCAGTTTGTCTGAAGGCATTCTTTACTGTTCACTTTGGGCACAACTCACACGCTCCCCCGCTTCTCCCCGACACCTTTCCTTACTTCTCTTATCATCTCTTCCTCCTCTTGTAATTATAACCTTCCACAGCTTAACAATCTCTAAAGTCTGTGGGGCCTCCAGAGTCTCCCATTTTTGGCTTCATAGCTCCCTCCCTTCAAAACCAATTACTGCATCATCTTTATCCCCCCCCCCATCTTATCAATTGAGATCCATATCTACTCTGTGGGATCCCTGATCCCTGCTTTTGACTCTCCAAAGCCTTTGGAGTCTAAGGAGTTGCTGCTGTTGATTGGCTAATATGAAAATGGCGTGGTGGTAACGCCAAGCAGCTGTGCTCACTCTCCCACTTAGTACACTATAGGGGAGACTAGTTATACCAGATACCCGGAGCTCTTGGTGTGAATGGCTTTTGTTTTTGAACTCCACACTCAGCACTATTACATACAAGTCCCACCTGAATATTGAAAATACTTGAACTGAAAGTTTCCTAGTGCCCACATCCCTCCCCGCTTCTGCCCTACCAGGCAGTTTCTGATCCTCCAGCACCAAGGTTTCTTTCTCAACTGCTGTTTTGTTCCCTGTCATTTTGTGTCATATCACAGAGTCTTTATTATTTTAAGATTTATTTCTAAGTATGTGTGTGCGTGCATGAGTGCAGATGCCCATGGAGGCTGGGGCATCATTGTCTCCTTTGATCTGGAGGTATAAGTGGTTGTGATATGGCCAGAGTGGGTGCTGGTAATTGAACTCGGATCCTCTGTGAGCGCAGTCCATGCTCTTAACTGCTGTGCCATCTCTCCAGTCCCCTCCACAGTATCCTGACTATGGAAAAGTTAGGTAGGAAGTCTTGATATTAGGCAGTGGGAGTCTACCAATTTGACCTGTTTGTCAGGATTGTCTTAGGTTTTCTGGGTCTTTGCCGTTCCATTTAAAATTTAAAATTACCCATGCACTTGTTCACAAAACCTGATAGCACTTTAATAGGGATTTCACTGAGTCCATACACTAAGCTGGAGGCCACTGTTCCCTAAACAGCAGTGTCTCTTTGACCCATGGGTACAATGGCTTTCTGTTTATTTATGTCCTTTGGGGCTGAGTAGCATTTAGGCTATTCTGTGCAGACTTCTCTTGTATATTTTTGTAAGATACATGTAAGATATTTTTTAAAGTATCTTATTTTTATGTCTTTTAACTTGGTATCCTTTTAAGCTTAATTCTGTAATTATTCATTGCTAGCACAAATATAATTAATTTGTAATATTGTTTGTGTATCTTGCTAAATTTATATCTTAGTTTTACTAAATTTAGAGTCTGTGGGATTTTTCACAAACTAGAATCTATAAATTTTTTTCAATTTAGATGCCTTTTTTCCTTCATCTTATAGTACACTGTGTAATACAAATAATGAGTGAATGTGAGTTCAAACATCTAGAAGGTGGTCAGCAAGACCCTAGTTTCTCTTAAGATCTACTCTGCTTATCTTCTAATACCCAGGGACACTTGGGTGGAGGGAGTGTAGTTAATTTTAACACCAAAAAAAAAAAAAACCTACTCTACAAACCTGCAACAGAATAAAAGAAAAACACGGTGCCAAAGCCTTCACACTCCTCAGTAATTCTAATATTCAGTTAGGCTCTTAGTGGCTTCTGTAGCACTGAGTTTGCTGGGGCAAACACATTCAGTCCAGAGTAGAGCCGATTGTCTTCACTGGACAGACTCTTACGAGGAGACGTGACAGGTAAGACTGTGGAATCCTGAGGACAAAGTCAGTGGCCTTCAGTGTGATGACCTTGGCTGAGTATATGCTGGAGACAATTGAGTGGGTGACTCATATAATCTCTGACTTCACAGCCTGCCCAGTACCAACCAAAACAAGCATTGTTCTCTCAGGTTCAGTGCAGAAGTTGCTCTATCCAGCAGTCTGCCAGCTGTGAGTAACTACACATGTGATTGTTCCATAAAGGTCTATCTTGGTGGCTTGGGGCCAGATGTAATTGTTTCATTTCCCACATCTTTGGATTGTACTCTGATGAGCCATCGTGGGAATTAGGGAGGTGAGCATGGCACTGGTGGGTCTCTGTCAGCTTACCTTTCTATTTTATCTTTTGTAACTCTCCAGTGCTTGGTGCTCTTCTGGGTCCCTTTTCTATTGCGGGAGCACTGAACATTGTCCTCAGGTGATCATTACCCTCTCTAACCTTGCTTTCCATGACCCTGACATCTGACTCTAAGAGAATAGGCCGAGTTCCTTTGAACTAGTCCTGTAGCCCATCCATCTCAGCTGTTCTCACTAAAGCTCATTACTCCTCTCTATGCACAAGTCAAAATGCACACACCCTTCTAACTGCCCAGAGAGCAACTTAAAGTGAGCATGCGTCATAGACACAGTACAGACCTAATTCTAGAACTGCTTGACTGTGGCCCTGTTCAGTGGACGAACACTGTCCTTCAGGAGTGGAGTCTATTACTCTCTCTCTCTAAGAGCACCAGCTGAGAGCTGACTGTGAAGTAATTCGGCAGTAGTCCACATTTATTGGAAATAATATTTTGAACCTGAGCAGCTTGTGAACACCAAATATGTATGCTCATGTTCTCACTCATGGTCCACTATTGAACTCGAAAAATGAGACCTTTCAGAAGCACAGCCTATTGCAGCCATCACACTAGGAATCTTCTTTGTCCATTCATTGTCAGCTCTTCCACTTTATAACAAGGGTCACACTCATACTCTGAAAAAAGAATGGTTTGGTATCTAAACCTAGGCAGACTTAGAATGTCTCCTATGTACTAACCCCTTCATAGATGAGTTTCTCATATTACGTTTTTAGGAAATTAACAACTTTCTAAGGCCATATTATCAGTCTCTTTAAGCTGGATTCTCTTCATGAATTTATTGTTTATATGTTTGTATCTGTACTTGTGAGTTTATGTGTACCACATGAGTTTGGGTGTTTGCCAAGGCCAGAAGACGGCACTGGGTCTCCCAGACCCCCTGAAGCTAGAGTTACAGACAGTTGTGAGCTGCCTGATACGGACGCTAGGAACCAAACCCGGGCCCTCTGAAAGAGCAGTAAATGCTTCTAACCACTGAGCCATATCTCCAGCTGCAAACCTGGTCTATTAACGATGAAAATGATTTATTTAATAGAGTAAGAACCTAAACTCCCCCCCCCATTTCTGCTTGGCTTGATGCTGTACTTCCTGGAGCCATCCCTAGCCATCTTGAGTTTGATACTGGTCAGTGCTCAGACCATGAGAGAAAGAATCCAATGCTGACTGATGCCCAAGGACTGCACAGCTGCCGATTGGTCATGGAGAACTACCACCATGTGCCTCTGTCCTGAGCCCCGTGTATAAGGAAGGAAGACACTCGTATAGCCAAGACCAAATGGTTATTCATATCCAGCCATGTAGGTTAAAGTCTAAGTCTTCTTCCTAAAGGCAGGTGCCTCTCAAAGTAGCACTTCCCA